TCCAGTTCACACTTGGCCAGCCATGGAAACTTAAGGCAAGTTATGCAACCTTTCTGCGTCTCAATTTGTTCACCTATAAAGCGGGGATAATAAGGGCCTACTACCTATTACATATACCCATCTATTCAGCATACTATGGTGCTACTTTAAGACGATAATGCAAATATTTACTAAACTACTGTTGAAGCCAAATTCTACACCATTAGTAGTAAAATAAGTACCTTATTTTTCTGTCCGGGGACTTTGACCTTTACTAATTAGATGGTTTACAAGTCTACCCTCTGAAATGAAGCAGCATGGATTTTTTCCCTTGGTTTTGGAAATGAGGAAACTATGAAACTCACAAGAAACCTGCTGACATTCAGGGTCAAGAACCACCAAGTCATAGCTACTGTAAGCCATTAGGTCAACAATATTTCATCTCCTAATGGGGCCTCTTCAGGAAAATCTGAGTCAACAATAGCAAAGCTGAGGCTCCTAACATCTGGGGAAAGCTCTAAATGACCTTTTAGTTGAGTACCATCACAAGAATAACTCAGTTGGGTCAGATTCTCTGTTCCAGCTTAAGAGGTGCAGTCTGCCTTGGGGCCTTTGCACTATCTGTTCCATCTGCCTGGATCCTGATGTTCCCCATATGTCCTCATAGTTAACTGCCTCACTTCTGTCAAGGTTTTGGATTACCTCTTAGCTTCTCAGTGAAGCCTACCCTGACCAACCAATTAAAAATTCTAACACTTCCTCCTCTCAATCTACCTTAGCCTGCTCTAATCTCTCTTTTCCATAACCACCTTCAACATCCCATTTAATTTATTTTTATGCTGAGTGTTTACTCTCTGTCTCCCACCACTAGAATATAAACCCCCCAAAGTTGGGATCTTTGTTTGTTCACCAACAAATACCAAGGGCCTAGAACTATGCCTGGTATAAAATAGATACTAAATATATATTATTACATAAATAAATTTAACATGCAGAGGTACTTTTACAAATGTACCAAATAATCAAATCTAGTAAGAATGATTAAACAGATCCCTTTCTGAGACCAAAACCCAAAAGATTTCTCAGCACTGAGATGCACGGACAGAGCAGGCATTTCATGAGTCTCTGACATTGACCTTCAGTGCTAAATTTAGTGCCCTTGGTGTTTCTGTGATTCCTAGTTACTAGTTTAGCTTCACCTATCTAGGATGTGCATGTCAAGAGTGTTTCTACAAACTCAAGCATCTACTCACAGTAAGAAGCAAACAAATCTTGATCAGCTTTTCCTGTCTCCAGGAAACGGAGCTGGGCTACGAATGGAGAGCAAAGCTGATTGAGAAACACTTCACAATTGCAGGGCTATGGGATTTCTAGGCAATTTAAGCTGAGGGGAGGGCTTCGGCTGGGATACCAGGGTTGTATAGGGAGACAGGCACTCCAGTACTAGACCAGCGATGAAAGGCAAGGACCAACACAGGAACACAGAACACAGGTGTTGCACTCCTCCAGGAAGAAGAGAGCTAAGACAGAGGATGGGGAAAATCACACTTCCCTTGACCCTACAGCCCAAATCCTTGTTCCTATGGGTACCGGAAAATGGTTAAAAACAAGAGCTAAATGCACGTATATAACAGAATAGAGATAGCTATTCTCTACTTACTGCACTTAATTAATCTGAACTAAGTATTACAATTATAATGAAAACTGTGGGCCTTGCACACCAAAAGCCTTGAAAAATCTGTCAAACAAGAACCACGCCATAGTCCCACAAACCTTCTTGTCAACACTGCCTAAGGATTCTGACTAGTAGTTAAATAGTAATAACTCAGAAAGGTCCCCAAGATGCAACTACCACCTGAGCATATTTCTAATACTCTTATGATTACTAAATTAACAAGCTCTGTGAAAAAAATGAAAGATAATATTAAAATAAATCTTTTAGTAGTCCTTTCATGCATCTTTTTAATGTGGCCACTCAATAACAAGGACACGCAATCAGAAAGTCAATCACTAAAAATAACCGTCTGCCTCCAAAAATTTATAGACTGAACCACAAACAATAAATAAATAACCCTTAATTCACACAGAGAACTTTCACTAAACCCTTGGTCCTATATATCTGCACTCATGTCCCCTCATCAAGTATATTTATGTGTCACTGCCTACTAATCAGGATATTTTTACTCTTCTCCAGGTCAATTCTTATTTGTGCATACAGGCCTCTCTTTCAAAGCAAAGGGCCTCTGCTCAGCAAAGGCACCCAATAGTTTAAATTCATCTCTTCCCTCTGGGAATTTCAAGTGTTTGTTCATTTTAACATTTATCTTCCATAAAGCTGGATGGTTTTAAACTAATTCCAAAGTACAGTCATTGTTAGCCTTGCCACACAGTCTGCCTAAGTCATAACTATTGTTATAAACTTAATTCTTCAATATTTTCATTTAAAGACTAGCCCTTTGGGGATGACCATTACTTAAAAGCTGAGTTTCAGAAAATTTACAGAACTTTTAAAAATGTTTACCCAATACTAACAACAATTTCTGCAAACTTAGAAAACTCTTTTGATCCACCAACCATTTAAAATCATCTACTTGATTATAAACTAAATCCTCAAGAAGAATAACTGCCTTTAACACGTTTTAATAAATATAACTGATATTTTCTTTCAACCAGCTAGTCCAAGTAGGCAGGCAATGTGGGAAAATTATTACTCATCTTACATTAATTATAGTTTATAATAACTCTTAGTGAAAGTGAACGGGATAGGCAATGACAGCCCTCCCTAAGTAGGGAAATATTATTTATTTATATATTTATGTAATACATATTTATTTTATTTATTTGTTTCTATTATTTTCTGTGTATTATTGAAAGGAAAGGAATTTGAACTTACAAAATTTCTATTGGAACTTTGCATTACTGGAGTTTTAGTATTATTTTAAACTGCCCATCATGAAAATCTGATTTATTCTTCAAGTACCTTTGCTTATGGCTATTCAATCAGATATGAATCAGCAAATTTGTTACTCCGTTAAATTCCTGCTTTTAAGACTACCAAAACTTGCCTAGTTTTTCTCTCACACCTCTATCAGAGGAGATGGCAGAAACTATTATACCGATGTTTTTAAAAGTTTCAAAACCTGGACAATTACTCATCAGAATTATTTCTTGAAAGACATTCGGTAGACATTTTCTTTTTTTTTTTTTTTTTTTTAAAGATTTTATTTATTTATTTGAGAGAGAGAATGAGACAGAGAGAGAGAATATGAGAGGGGGAGGATCAGAGGGAGAAGCAGACTCCCTGCTCAGCAGGGAGTCCGATGCGAGACTCGATCCCGAGACTCCAGGATCATGACCTGAGCCGAAGGCAGTCGCTTAACCAACTGAGCCACCCAGGCGCCCCTCGGTAGACATTTTCAATGATTACTTCCCATTCCGGATGCCCCTGCCCCTCATATCCTACGCTAAACTAGCAATCAACGCTTATTAAGCACCCACTGTGTGCAAAGAGAAAGATTATACTAAGCAAAGAGCATAAGGCTCGGCCTCATTTTATTCGTGCATAAATACACAGCAGTCGTGATTTATTCTCACAACTTTGTAGAGACGTGAGTTGCATCCACATAAATGAATCCACAGCATTCATTTGGAAATGGCTTTCTGGGGTTAATTCACAGGTTCTCCATATTAGACAGCCCCGATGGGACATCACGCGGTCCCTTCACCTTCCAGCCCACGCAGGACAACTCGTGGGCACCAGCCACACCTTCTGCAGGTGGCTGGATCGCCAGAGCCAAATGAGCCCGACCCATCTCCCCTCGCAGGAACTCCGGACAGGAGTATGTAAAAGTGTGCAAGGACTTCTGCGAATTCAAGGACTTGTTGAAAGGCCCCGGGGTCCCGGGCAGGAAGGGAAAGCAGCCGGCGCCCCCTCCCCCGCGGCCACCGAGTCCCCCGCGCCCAGGGAGCTGCGCAGGCCGCCGCCGCGGATCCCGGGCGCAGCCGGCACACCTCGGGCCTAGCACCATTGGAAAGGCAAATCTCAGAGCCGGGGCACATTTAAATGCCCGGCCCCGGCCCCGGCCCCGGGGGATTGCTCTCCAGCAGACACAGCCGCAGGGGCCTCCGGGGCCGCCCGGCCTGGGGCTTTGGGCGCGGCCCACGGGCGTCCCCGGGACCTCAGCCCGCAGCGCCCCGGCGTCCGCGCCAGGCCAGGGCAGGGGTGGGTGGCCAGGGCCCCCAGGCCAGCGTCCCCGGCCCAGCCGAGCGAGCCCCACGCCGCGGGCAAGAGAGGGCTAGAGGCGCGTCCTCCGCCCGCGGCCGCCGGCTCCCGCCCCCTCCCGACGCACCACACCTAGCAACCCGCGCTGACAGGACGCAGTGGCGGCGGCGGCGGGAGGAGGAAGCGGAATGGCTGCCGCGGTGGAGCCACCCCCGCCCCCCCCCGCTCCCACCTCCCAGCGGCTGCAGCCGCCGCCGAGCCCTGACAGCTCGAGCCCGGGCGGAAGCAGCGGGCGGCGTGCAGCGCCCGCCCCCCCACCGCCGCCCCCCGGCGCCTCGGGCCGCCCCGACCACCGGGCCAACTAACTCCGCGCCCCTGCCCAGCGCCAGCCGCCCGGCCCAGCCGCGCCCTCCGCCCCGCGCCCCCTCCCCCGGCGCCCGGCCCCGCCGCCGCATCTCCCCGCCGCCTGGTCCCTCCTCCCGCCGCCCCCCACCGGGGCGCACCCCCCACTCCCACCACTTCGCCGCCGGCGCGCACGCCCCTCGGAACCCCCCAGCCCGGCCGCCCGCCAGCCCCGGCACCTCGGGGCGCCCGCCCCCTCCCCCACCCCGGCCCGCTCCCCGCCCCCCAGGCACCTCGCGCCTCCGCATCCCGTCACCCCCACGCCCCGGGCTTGCACACACCCTCCCGCCCCGCCGCCGCCTGCCTCCCTCCCGGCCACCCCTGGCCATTCTGGGGTTCTCGCCTGGGCAGGAGTTTCCGCGCGCCCGGCACCCCCGCCCACCCCCGGGCCATTTACCGATGTGGTTGTCCTCGATGTGCTCGATGAGGTCGGCCAGGGTGGGGAAGTGGAGTCCGCAGCCCCCGAATCGGCAGGTATTGGAGAAGAAGGAGGCGGCGGCGATGCCTGTCATGGTGCTACATCGAGAGCCCCCCTGGTGTCGGCTCTGCGAGCGCCGGGCCGGCGGGCGGAGGGAGGGAGGGAGGGAGGGAGGGAGGGAGGCAGGGTGGGGTGAGGAGAGGAGGGGCTGGGGGAGGGGGAGAGAGGCGGGGTGAGGGGAGCGGAGAGAACGGGACGGAGGGAGAGGGGGCTAGAGCGATGAAGGAGAGCGAGGAGAGACCGGGAGGCAGAGGGGAGGCGGTGGCGGCGGCGGCGGCGTCGGGAGCGGCGGGGGGAGGGTGGGGGTGGGGGGTGAGGCCGCCGCAGCTGGGAGGAGGGACCAGGGCGCGCGGCAACAGCTGTGCGGCCCCAACCTCGGCTCCTGGACCGAGGCCTCACCTGCGAGCTCCTGCCACCAACTTTATCTCTGTCGGCCTGCCCTTCACAGTTGGTAATACATGCAGTCTGTTTGGAGCTTCCCTGGTTAGGTATATTACCTTCTTGATATATACACATATATTAATTACAAATGCATCCCGCGATGAGAACTCAGGGAGTTACCCAGGCCTCACTCGGGGGCATTTGCTTGCACTTGGCCACCTGTCTAGGTGTGACACTGACATTCACAGGGGACCCAGGAAAGGTAATTGTGTGCACCTTACTCTTTAAACCCCCCTTTTTTTTAAAGTCATTTTCTCTGGAGGTTTGTACTAACTAATTGATTTTAATGAAATTTTCCTCTAGGCCAAAAGAAAATCTTAGCTTTATTTAAATTTCAAAATAGATTTCTTGATTGTCAAGTGCATTTGCCCGTGTTTTACATATGTACCACGTTTGTTATACTCCCTGCTCCTTTTGGGAAAACAAAAACTAAAATGATTTCATTTCCCCAAATTACAGCACCCCACTGCCCTATCTCAGGTCTGGGAATTGACTCATCCGTCTCTCTGGGAGCAAGATTATCAGCAGAAAGGACAGTGCATTGGTTAAGGCTAGAAGGAGTAAAAACAAGGTCAAGGGACATATTTACTCTTCATTTAAAAGAGAAAAGACTCCTACAATCAATCTTGATTACACATTTTAAACCATAATGTTGACCAGTTAAACACTTAAGTTGAATTTGGTAGCATTTTGCTAAGAATCGGTTACTTTCTGGTCCCCACCCCCAACCCCAGCTGCACTCATATTTTTTTTTAAGATTTTATTTATTTGATAGAGAGCACAAACAGGGGGGGAGTGGCAAGCAGGGGGGAGCGGCAGGCAGAGGGAGAAGGAGAAGCAGGCTCCCCACTGAGCAGGTAGCCCAACTTGGAACTTTGGGATCAGGACCTGAGCAGAAGGCAGAGGCTTAACCGACTGAGCCACCCAGGCGCCCCACGCTCATATTTTTACCTGCAAAGTGTGCAATCTCTGATAGCACTTTTCCAGGTGCCTAAGAAACAAAGCACATTATCGGCAGTTTATGATCCAACAGTGCATTTTTTAATTAATACAGGTATACTGAATTTAGCACTTTTCCTTGGGACAAATTTCACTTACCCCAGGTGCAGATACATACAAAAATAGTATTCCCCTCTCCATCAACTATATTCATCCCCCATGTTGTTACTAAGACTGTTAATATTTTTCATTTGCATTTTTAGAGTGAAGGCACCACAAAAGTTTTATAATCTGACAGAGATTGGGGATGCTTAGTTCCCTCATCCGTGGCATTTCCCCTTCTTCTCTCCATTTCTTCTTGCCCTGCTCACAAGGAGACAGACTTGTGTTGAGATGAGAGTTGGGTTGGATGAGGCTGGGGCAGTTGTGTCATTGAAGGTCAGTTTGGTGCCAGGAATGGTTTCCTGGGCCCATTTGTGGGTGGGGGCAGGGCCTGGGTGGGCCTGATAATGAGCCAGCGACCGGGTTGGCTGGAGACTGGAGCCAGGGCCAGACAAGGGTCTAAAGAGCAGGAGTTAGAATCCTAGAATTTTGGCAGCTGGGCAGTGCATTCAGCTGCCCAGTCTGGGAAGGCCTTCAGCTGAGAGCAGGCAGAATATCTGGCAGCCACACACTACCCCAAGTAACAGGACAGGGCAATGCAATGCAAAAGCTTCAGCCCCAAACTGGTGCCCAAACAGTTTCCCCCTAGAGATAAGCATTAGGCACCACTGCCATGCAGTATCTAGGAATTATCTAGAGCTTTGGAGAAGCAGCAACTCTGTCCTCTGGAGAAAAAACTGTCTACATGGAATTATTAACTCCAGGCAAGAGACTCAGAGACGGAAAGTGCCAGAAATGTGCAGGTAAGAGACAAGGAAGTAAGGGGACTGGGTTTCACTCGTGCACATGAGTGCACAAGTGATACGCCAAACTTAATAAATAGAGCTTTTTAATGAAATAAGCCAGAATAACATAAATCAAATTTTTAATTTTTAAGGTTTAAATTTTTTTACTCTTTTACCTTTAAGATTTAATTTTTTTTTTACCTTTACCTTACCTTTTTACCTTTACCTTAATATTTTGTAAGGACTCATTTTATTTTCCACTCTAATTCTTATATGAACTGAAGCTCTGCCTATGTGACATTCTGTTCTTTTTTTTTTTAATCTGCACACTCTAGGCATTTCTGGCCTGTATATTAGATACATAATCATGGTCTGTTAGATTTGGGGAGATACTCTGGCTGTAGGAGCCACTGATATTGTAGATGTGGTAAATAAATTGAGGCCAGGGTATAGAGTGTGTTCTCCCCAGGCCCACACAGCCAGGTTCCTCTCTGTAGTCATAGCGCCTTCAGTCAGGCATCAGTAGACAATAAAAGAACAAAGATATAGTAACCACAGGCAAATTTCTAAAAAATTACGGTAGCTTGCTTACCATCCTGTTCTTACATTTAAAAGTATTTGTTTTAGGGGTGCCTGGCTGGCTTAATTGGTAGAGCATGTGACTCTTGATCTCGGGGTTGTGAGTTCAAGCCCCACATTGGGCCTAGAGCTTACTTAAAAAAAATTTTTTTTTTAATTTTTAAAAATAAAAGTCTTTTTTAAGGGTGTTCCTTCAGATAGTGTCAACACTAGGCTATAAAAATATAGAAAATAAACATTTCAGCCTATTATGTCCAAGAGAAAATGATGGCTGATATACCCCTACATTTACAAAAACATTTGTCTGCCTGATTTGGGTAGTAAAAATATTTCAAAGGAAAGGGACAGTGAGAGAACTGAGGAGTCAGAAGGATAGGATAATGGCTATAGCCAGAAGCGTTCCCTGGGTTTAAGACCCTTTTCTTGCAAACCATTTGCCTTTCCCCAGAGTACTATGCCTCCCGATGTGTAGACCCAGACAAAGTATGGACATAGTGGCCCCATAGCTTGGTACTTAGCATTACAAATGATTTGGGATCCAGTAGCAATCTCCCAAAATCCAGCATGGCTATTGCCCACGGGCTGGTACAGCTGGTCTAATGGAGCCAGTCGAAGCCACCAGAGGATTTGGCTTCATGTAATTGGCCTTCACCTACTGGACTTGGTTAATTTAGGGATATTCTGATAAAACCTTGCACTTCCTGTGCCCAGCGTGGACATCTGTTAGCACTACAAGAGGATGTATATGAACATTGGATTCTGTTTTGGTTTTTGTTTGTTTTTTTTTTTAATATTTTTATTTAAATTCAATTTAGGTAACATATACTGTATTTTTAGTTTCAGGGAAAGAATTTAGTGATTCATCAGTTGCATATAACACCCAGTGCTCATTACATCAAGTGCCCTTCTTAATGTCCATCACCCAATTACCCCTCCCCCCACCCACCTCCCCTCCAGCAACCCTCAGTTTGTTTCCTACAGTTTAGAGTCCAAAATGGTTTGCCTCCCTCTCTGTTTTCATCTTATTTTATTTTCCTTCCCTTCCCCAATGTTCATCTGTTTTTTTTTTCCTTAAATTCCTGGAATCTGTTTTGAGTTTAACTCTCCACACTGCCTTCAATTCTAGCTTTCTCAGGTTTTCTGGGCCAGGTCCCTCTTAAGTTGCCTTTCAGGTTTACTGGATATAATAAGCAGGCTTGTAGTAAGTGCCGTGAAGCATTCCTTTGACCACCACCACTACATAGACTGAGCAGATCAGGAACCCAGTCTTCTGCTCATGCCATTCTATGGCCACTTATAAGAATGGCAGCTCTTGGGGCGCCTGGCTGGCTCAGTTGATGGAGCATGCGACCCTTGATCTCGGGGTTGTGAATTGAAGCCCCACGTTGGATGTAGACATTACTTAAAAATAAAATCTCAGGGCGCCTGGGTGGCTCAGTTGGTTAAGTGTCTGCCTTCAGCTCAGGTCATGATCCCAGGGTCCTGGGATCGAGACCCGCCTTGGGCTCCCTGCTCAGTGGGAAGCCTGCTTCTCCCTCGCCCACTCCCCATGCTTGTGCCCTCCCTCCCCCTCTCTCTCATTCTGTCAAATAAATAAATAAAATCTTTTGTAAAAAATAAAATAAAATCTTAAAAAAAAAGAATGACAGCTCTTGAAGACACAGGCTGCCACTTCTGCCTACAGCAACCTTTGTCTTGACAGGGTATTTTCTTTAGGCTTCACCTTCTTCCAAGGAAGATGATATCTATTCCAGATTTTCTTATTTAGTATTTATGCAACCAAATCTTCAAGTTTTTTTGTATTGATTTTACTCCAGCTCAGAAATGAATCAGCTTTTTCTGCTCTTTGGTGATTAACTCTCATTTTGGTCCCCAGTCTCATTCTGCCTAGATTTAAGTGTTGGCCTTAGAATGAGTAGTAGGGGTTCTCTAGTTGGATGCCACCAGTGACCAGTCCTCATGGGTGTTGTTCCTTAGCCCTCTACCTGGCTGCTTCCACCTCACTATGTACATAGTTATGGCATTTCCGTTTCCAGCTCCTTGCAGGATTTCTCCAGAACTAAATTAATGAAACATTCAACCAATGGCCGGAGTTCTAATTGAGCATCCTGGGTTTACTCCTGTGCTGCAGTCTGCCCTGCCACCCGGATGATAGCTCCAAATCCAAATCTGATGGGATTTGGCCACCTAGCACGAGCTTTCAATATGGCCATAAGAGCAGCCAGCCAATCACGATTTCATTCGTTCCTTCACCATATTTTGATTGGACATCTATGCACGTTCCTGCTACACAACCCCAGAAGGCATTATTTATATAGGCACTGCATGGACCATGACCCCAGAATTTGTACATCCGCATAGGCTGATCCACTGGGCAAGATACGAGGGATACAATTTGAATAAAACAAGTACA